AATTAGAATCAGCACGTTTGTCCACAAGCGTCTTGTAAACTATTATCCTGAAGATGATGGAGACAAGTGGGCGCAAAATTAAACTCAAACTTCGCAGATGACTGCTACATCTAAAGCTGAACATCGTTCTTTCCCAATTGTATTTGCATTGATCATGTTTTCAATCTTGCATAATAAGTAATACTAATACTCGTAATTTCATATCACCAACCCAGTGTAGTTCTTTTATTAATTTCCATGCATTAGAATACACTTTATTTCACATTTGACAAGCTTTGATTATGGAAGCTTGATCATATCATGTAAAATTTATTTATTTTAAATAGCAGGCGTTTTGATAGCTATCATTTGCCATTTAGCTGACTTCGGGCTTCACAGAGGGAAGGTTCATCAAAGTAGTAGTAGAAAGTCGAGGGGTAGGGAAGAGAAGAGCGATTCACAGATGTAAAAGAGGCTAACAAACAAAAAGGTAAGATGAGTACTGTGGAAGGGGTCGAATATGATATACAGTGGGGTGATGGTAGTTTGAAGTCAGAAGTCAACTGCCGGTTTATAGACTTTTTTGCCGTATGAGTGTACGTTGTCCAGGGTGCACCACGTGGAGGTAAGTCTATCGCACACCCCTATCATGTAAAACTATATCCAATTCTCAGTATTTGGAATAAAATTGAAACGATACGCCAAGACTAACCACCATTAATGAAGAGTCAACTGATAGAATCGGTTATTGTGAATAAGACATTGCTCACTAAATTAAATAACAAATAAAGAATTTTTGAAATTTGTTTGTCTACTGCATTATTTATTATATTTACTCCACTTGAGTAAACAGTGTAGAGAGTAAGGTAGTGGTTTATCCAAGTGGCACGCAGGTAATAAAACAAACCTACACAAGTTGCACAGCCGTTAGCCGCCGGTTTAAACCGTCTACAGAAAAAGCGGACATGCATAAATTTGTCTCCCTTTTTTTACAGGTAAATTCTGTGAAGATGCGTTTCAGTATTGCATCGACGAGAATCCCTGCAGGAATGAAGGTGTCTGTATGATGCATAACCCTACGGGATTCAAGTGCGTTTGTCCCCAGGGTTGGGGTGGTGTAGACTGCTCTGAAAATCTAGATGACTGTGAATACAACAAGTGTCAAAATGGAGGAATCTGTCAAGATAATATCGGCGGATACACCTGTAAATGTCCACGTGGTTACACGGGTAGGTAGATTATTAAATTTTAAATGCTAATAATAATTCTACTTGTAGTGTTTGAACTATACCCCAGATTTTAGTGTCCTATCTCTGTTATCTGTAGTTCCCTATAATCATATAGCATTTCAACTTTGTATCGTTACTGTTCTCTTAACCGTCCGGTTAAGGTTCAACTTCGTTGAATGCCATTCAATATGCCGATCGAAAATCTTGCGTCCCATGAACCAATAAGAATTGTTAAAAACCTTTATAACAGAGCTTTACCGCCCGATTTAGAGATGCAAACGTTGGGACTATTGATACTTTGTTGTTAAAGCTCATAATTTTTGGTTAATATTCTTGTAGCTCCAGAAAGCGACTACTCACTGATATGTATGTCTTGATCATAAACGTTTCCTCACTGGAACTATCTCGATATCCTTTCACCCAAGCCAAAGCAATATTGGAAGTTTTAATCTTTTATCCCTTGAAAGTAATAATCTAAAATGCTTTCTATTGGCCACTTACCTTTGTGAATAGACAACCAATCAAATTTAGTGTAGGCGAAATATATTTACGATCATGCGGTTCGGAGGACGAGAATCAGCTCTTATGGCGGTGTAAATGAGAGCATGTAAACAAGGCGTCTCTGGGATGCGTTATTTTAGACAATTTCTGATGAGTAGTGTTCACGGTTAGGTATAACATTAATCGAATCTCGTCACAAGACAGTTAGGAGATGTAGTTCGTTGACCTTTCGTGTCTGTCAGCTAAGTGTACTCATTACAATAATAACAGTTTAAAATCGAAGGAAAACAGTACAACGAAAGACTCAAACGTAGTAAAAGATTGGAGAATGTACTTCGTTCCCTATCCACTTAAGGCACATTTTGTTGTGTCATGACCTAATATTGCAGAGTTCAAACTACAGGAATTGGTTTCTTATTACCTGAATGGCACTCAGTTAATAAAAATTTGATTAGATCACTTCTATTTAATCTGGCCTTTCATGCTTACTAAGATTATAAATGTCCTACTTATCAACAGATAGTGTTTTGTTTTAAAGTCAGAGATCACGTCTTCAATATCCATTACATAGCTCTCTATCAAGAATGTTGCACCGTATTTGGAAACTACATCTAGGAGTTCTAGCGCCAAAGAGGTTTCTAACTGCACTGACTAAAGGAGCAGAAGTTGGGTATTCAACTAGATACCTTCTAGGCTGTTGCCCCCTTTGCAGGAGGCTAGTCGAGTAACAACAATCGAATTTCGGGTCCCGTGAAAAATGTTTACTCAATTAGCTAGTCTCTGGTTCATCAAGCATTCCATCCAGATGCAGTCATGTATAAGTTGACTAGTGGCATCTTTAAAATTAGTTACTACGTAGTATCAACTATCAATGTATTAGGTTAATATACTCCTGCAAAAACCAAGGTTGCATAATTCTCGTCAAATACAATTTAAGTTATTCATGTTATCTTTTAGGGGAATTCTGTGAACACTTAGTTCCTTCACGAATAACGGTCGCCAAAAATTCGGCTTCATTTGGCTGTACCTTCAATCGTTGTATGAATGGATCTGTTTGTCAGCCTGACATGTCACTGATTGGATATCGTTGTAGCTGTCCCAGTGGTAAGGGAAAGTTGAGTACCTTATGCATTTCTAATCAAACCTCAATTAATCGTTACCATATTATGCATTTTTCCCAGGTCACAGTGGGACATTCTGTGAGAAGGTATACTCCGTCTCCTTTACTTCAACAGATGTATATATTCCTATACAACCTCCAAGTCGTGGATGCTTTGTTCCACGTGGAAACATCAGCCTCACTTTTTCGACAACCCAGCAAGAGGGAATTCTTTTCTTCTTCTCCGAATCCGCCGAAAAGACGCTATCGTTTAATAGATATTTAATAGCTGAGCTCTATCACGGCCATGTGAAAATCAGTTTTGCTATTGAAACAGGAGAAATGGCTGTCGCCTATTCGATGTCAAAGGTTCGTTTCATGGTTTTCGTAAAGTGAAACCCTTCCAGCCTATCGTAGTGCTTGGAAGTACAGTTTCTATTGCTATGATTTATCTGCTCTCGGATAACACTAGGTGATAATTGACTGAAATTCGGGAGAACGAGTAATGAAGATAGAATGCAACCAAATTCCTGACGCTTTATTAAGTAAAAGAAGACTGTATATAGACGAATATATTTATATCAAATAGCAGGCGTTTTGGTAGTTATCATTAGCCTTTTAGTTGACTTCAGGCTTCAAAGTGAAAAAAAATTCAAGAGGGGGGGGGGACAGAAGAGTGATTCACAAATGCAAAAGAGACAGACAGACATAAAGACAGAGGAAATACAAGATAAATACTGTGGAAGTGGTGGAATATGACATACAGTGGGGTGACAGTTAATTGACTTTTTTGCCGTATGAGTATACGTTGCCCAAGGTGCACCACCTGGAGGTAAGTCCATCGCACACTCTATTTAGACGAATATAAGTATAATCCTTGTATTAAAGAAGTTTGAGCATGCTGGATACCGTATTTGGAAGTACTCATTCTAAAACTAAAAGTTGACTTCACAAATTTAAGATTTACTTTATCACTAGAACGCTGATGAATCAGAGGGAAAGAAATTCAATTAGTTGATGACAATCAAATCCACACCATGTCTCGCATATGTCGCTTTGTGTCGACTCAATTTTCGTTGGAAAGCAACCACAAAAACTGCTAGACTAATATTGGGAGGTATTGATAGGACTGAAAAGAAATTCACTTTCTGCGGTCCTATCAATTATTAAGAATAATCAGTGCGTTTGAGCCGTGCACATCACCGACTATGCACCGATGAGAATCAATTTCATAACCTCTGACTTACCAGATGTGTATGTTGACCACCGTAGCACAACTACACTGCTTACCCAATAGAAATAATTATCGGCTCGATTTCCCAGTTCATCTTTACTTCTCTTTGATTAAAACTCACACCTACGCATTTGTGTTTGTATAAACAAGTTTTCAATAGTCTCAGGTATTGATTACCAAAGGGGGTTTATGCTCAACACTTTGCAATAACTCAGTTGCATGCAGAGAATTCCTCATTGCAATTCGCTTCCTTACATTAGGCGTGAATGAACACTTCAGTTCCTTAGTGACGGTAATTGCTAATTGATTTTGAAGCTGAAGTAAGACTTTATTTGGTATTTGTAAGTGTCGACGATGAGATTAAAAACAGCTCACTTATATTGTCCTTGCTATCAATCCTTTGCGAGATTGATACTCATTGACAATTGTTTATGCATTTATGATTTGAATATATCATTATATTCATGCTTTCTTTTGTTTCAGTTAACTGATGGCACCTTCCATCGACTTGACATTCTTTTCATCATCGACCGTGTTGAAATGTTTGTGGACGGCGTAAGAAACGCTCTCATCCAATCTGTTGTCCCCAAAACTGATGATTCAAATTCAAAACCGCGACCTCTAGTATCTGCCACTCCCATCTTCTTAGCTGGGGCCCCGAAACGCTTGATCAAATCAGCAAGTCGAAATGGAATCATAGGAAGTGCAAACGGATTCATCGGTGGGATATAATTTCTTCTCCTTTAGTCTGCCACGTTTTAAGGGGGATTGTTTCAATAAACCTTTGATTTTTAGGTTGTATTGAGTCGTTTTTCATCAACGACAAACCAATGGACTTTTCTGCTACGCTAAAAAATTCCAGTAAATTGAAACCAGGATGTGGTAGATCTTCAAGCGCAATAATACAAGTACTCACCACGGATTCTACTCCAAAATCGCTTTATCCCCGAAGCGAAATCGAGTCCACTCAGTCGATTAGCAGAGCTAATGTACAGGTCGCAGTGAACAATGGCGATTGTCGAAGTCCGGATTCAGCGTGTTTAAACGGAGGTGTCTGTATTCCTGAGTACGCTTTACCAGGTAATTCACAGAATCGTCAATGGGCTTCATCACCATCTCGACACGTTTGCCGATGTCCAAGTGGATTCGAAGGGACTCGTTGTGAATCAAGTAATTTCCATCCATGACATTGCATTTAAGTTTGGAGTATTTTGTCAGCCTGTTACTGTTTACATTTCAGCCACCTTCTGCAAGCGACATTCTCGCTTCTCCTACATCTATGATCCTGACACCGGTTGTATCTCTACTCGTAGGATTATGATCCGCTCTTGTTCTGGATCATGTCAGGAAGTGGCAACCACTTCTTTAATTTGGGAACAGGAGGAACGTCAGAGAAAACGCCGGATGCGTAAGAAGGCAAGACGTAGGGTGCGTCGCCATCGGAACCAATGGAATCCATATTCTACTTCACCTACCCCCGGATTGAATCGAGTTTCCAGAAACTCACAAGAGACATCTGGAAGCTGCTGCCAGCCAATACGCTTCAAGCAAAAAAACATCCAGTTTCACTGTCCCAAGAATGGAGGTGGTGGTGGTAGTGCAGTTGACCGCGTATATTCCCGATGGTTTCGATTTGTGCGAAAATGTGGATGCACCTCCAATTGCAATAGCGGCGTTATCACCACCGCCGGAGCCCTACCATCCGGATTTTGAAATCATGAACCCCTAACTCCCTTGTCTAAGTAGCATTTATTCACTCA